AGCAACTAAGCCCATGTAGGCTCTACTGAGCCTGTATTCTGGAGCCCGAGCTCCGCCACTGCAATGAGAAGCCCACACACCGCGACGCAGAGTAGCCCCTGCTCGCTGCAACTAGAGAAAGCCCGCGTGCAGCAATGAAGACCCAACACAGCCAAAAAATAAATTAAGAAAAAAAATTAAAAGAAAAATACAGATGGGGGAAGAGGCAGACCTAGAAACATTGATTTCATTAGTCTGGGGTGGAGGGCGCAGGCAGTAGAGAGGAGGGACCTGGACATGTATTTCTAAAAAATTCCCCAAGCAGTTTTACTGTAATTTGCTTCCAAAGGTTGAAAACCATTGGCCCAGACAGTGGTTCTCAGTCTATTTTTGGAAGAGTGGGAGGCAGAAAAGGCATCGAGGAAGCATTTCCCCATTGTCCCTGCTGCCCCCTCTGTCACCATCTTAGTGAGGGGGCTGTGCCTGTAGTTTAAAAAGCCTGATTCTGATATTCCCACCGGGCCACGGAGAGCCACTGGGGGGGTGGAGCTCAACAGCCTGCATGAACATTCTTATCAGGTAATATCAGATTCACACCAAAGAATAAGCATAACTTCTGAGTAAGCTAAGTAGGATAATGATAAAAGACCCCCGTGACCCAAGTGAAATCCTAGACCTTTATTAACACAGTTGGTGTCACTGGCTCTCCTCGCCCCCCTCCTGTCCCTGCCTTCCCACAGGAGATAACCCCCTTCCTCCATGGGGGCATTTTTAACAAGCAGGGCGTCCCGGCATCTCTGGAGACCAGGTTCTGGGCCTCTGGGAGGGAGGGGCCTGCAGGTTGGAGGTGTGGAGGAGGCGGGGAGGAGGATGGAGTGCCCGGGCTGTGAGCAAGGGGGGCAGAGGCAGGGGAGCCAGGCAGAGCGTGCCCCAGCCTCGAACAGAAGCAGAGGCGGGCAAAGCATGTGTTAAAGCAGCGCTAGAGAAACCTCTTCATACCCAGTACAATGGAGACCCAGATGCTCTCAGATCAGCCAGGCTTTCAACGGTTTTGTTTTCCCAGCCCTGGCTGCTGCTGTCCAATTGACAGGCAGGCCATAGCTCAGGGGGTGCAGCGTTCAAGGCCCCTCGGATCTGTCAGACGAGAACAAAAAGGCGCAACTTGATCTCTCTTTCTCTATAGGCTAATCACGAGGGTGAGTTTTTCCTTGGGGTTATTATTCTATTATAAACCCAGATGCTTAAAGCAGATCAACTGTTACCTTTCTTAGAAGGTGCAAAGTAGGTCAGCGGCAGTCTATCAGGGTGCACAGCCTGGGCCTGAGTGCCACAGGCTGTGTGAATAATTAAATCCACACATCCCTGACATCAGCAGTGCAACAGGAGAGCATTTTCTCTCCCCAGGAGATTGTCAGGAATTAGAGATAAGAGGAAGCCAAAATATCCAGCTGTAGGAGCACCAACAGGGAGGAGCAATCCAGGAGTGGAGGGGATGGGGGACGGGGCAGAAAGCCAGTTCTTGGGAGGCTGGGATGTCTGAGGCAGGACTCTGGGCAGGGTCTCCCAGAGGGGTCCGGGGAGGACTGTGTCAGGGGCTGTGTTATGAAACAGACGCTCAATATGAGCTGCGGCACAAGGACAAGGTCCGATCTTACTTAGGGGGTGGATATAACAAAAGGTCAGTTTAGGTGACGCGAGCAGCCAGAGTGGCTTGGGGTCTATGGGCCTTAAACTTCCTATAACTTGGGCCTGGCATGGATTGGGGGTGTCTGATCCTGCAGGAACTGGGAGAGGTGGGACCCTTAATCACACAGGGGTTTTTTTGTGTTTTTCCAGAGACAGATGCTTCCATGGATAAGCCTGGAAAAGACCAAAAGTTACCCACCACCTCGCACAAAGATGCACGCGCAAAGGTCTTCATTTGCTATAAAGAGCTGAAGGCTCTCAGGGGAAAACTCGTCACTCCTGGCTAATGAGGCCCCGGCAGATGACAATGTAGAAAACAAAACAAAGAAAGGCCACAGCCTGCTCTCCCAGAGGCTGGCAGGCAGCATAGTGACAGTGTGGCATCCGACCCTGGACTAAAGATCTCCCAAGTGGGGAGAGTAACCAGCAAGCTACAATTTTTGGTGCAAGGCTGCACACTGCATACAATTTTTGGTGCACACTGCAAAATGGTCCCCAGCATGGACTGGTGTGTTAATCAGAGTTACGTTGGTGGTAAATACTGGGTCCTCTCTTACTCTCTTGCTGGGAGTATAAACTGTTACAACCAAACTGGAAAGCAATTTGACAGTCTCTCCTAGAGCTAAACATGTGTGTCTTCTATGATCCAGCAATCCCACTCCCAGGAATATGCCCAGTAGAAATGTGCACACACATTTACTAAAAGACACGAAGGAGAACATTCACAGCAACAGCATTTGTAATAGCCCCAAAGTAGCAACCGCCCAAATGCCCGGTGGCAGCAGAATGTCTAGGCACCCCGTGAGCTCTTGTACAGTAGAACACCATGAAGCAATGAAACACAACATGCAACAACATGGCTGAGTCTCACAAAAAATAATGTTGAGCAAAGAAAGCCAGCGCAAGGGTACAGGCTGCCTGATTTCATTTACATAAAGCAAACAGTCAAAACCTATGGTGAATATACTGAAAACCACCCACTTCTGCACTTTAAATAGGCAAATTGTATGGAGTGTGAATTAGATCTCCATTAAGCTGTTATTTTTTAAAAACTATGGTATTAGAAGTCAGGATAGTTGTTATCCTTGGTGAGGAGTAGGTGACTAGGAGGGGGCACAAGGGGGGCTTCTGGGTGCTGGCAATGTTTGGTTTCTCGATTTGGGTGCTGGTTACAAGGGTGTGTTCAGTTGTGATGGTTCTGTGTACCTTAGAACCCGTGCGCTTCTCTGTATGTATACTTCAATAAAAATAACCACAAATGGGGGCTTCCCTGGTGGCGCAGTGGTTGAGAGTCCGCCTGCTGATACAGGGGACGCGGGTTCGTGCCCCGGTCCGGGAAGATCCCACATGCCGCGGAGCAGCTGGGCCCGTGAGCCATGGCCGCTGAGCCTGCGCGTCTGGACCCTGTGCTCCGCAACGGGAGAGGCCACAACAGCGAGAGGCCCGCGTACAGCAAAAAATAAAAAAATAAAAAATAACCACAAATGAAGCAGGCCTGGCCTGGCAGGGCTCAAGTGCATGGGGATGAGTGAGCTGGATGTGCTCACTCTCTTCAGAAAGGCCCCGACTGCCACCAGAGTCCCCCCAAGAGGACCCTGCAAGAGTTTATGAGGATGGGGCTCCCCATTCATTAGTGAAGCCTCACCTGCAGGGCCCTGGAGTAATTCTCAGGGGAGAAAGTAGGGCAGGTCCACCAATCACTTCTATTCCCAGGGCTTGGCTCAAGTGGGCAGGTGTGGCCTGGGATGCCAGAGTATTCAGTAGGCCTGGTGGCATCCTTGCCTCAGCAGAGGCTGGGCCATGGCTACTGTGACTCCTCACAGTTCAGCCTTCCGGGGGTCTGATCTGTTGCGTCTGGACTGGGAAGGAGGCATATCCTCAGGGAGACCCTAAGGGACATCTGCCTGAGGCGGGCCAGCCTCTGCCTGCCTGGCAGCCCCAGCCAGGCTCTTCAGGGTGGGTTTGGGGAGCCTTATCAGGTGCTGCCTAACAGCCGGAGCACTGGAGCCCCCAGGAAGATGGCTCCCAGGGGGAGTGCACTGAGCATGGGAGAGGGGCTTCCTGAGAACCCCAAGTAGAACAGAGGTGAGATTTTAAGGTACAGGGCCAATGGGGATTTGAGGCAGTGGGCCAAAGTAGGACACATAGGACTGCTGCCACTGGTGGACTCCTTTCACCCAGGGAGCGTTAGAGGCCAAGTCCTTTATAAATCAGACAGTACAGAGGGCTGCCGCCAGGGCCAGGGACTTCTGACCCTCAAGATGCTGATTCAACTCTGCATTTGAAAAAAGTCTTCATAGATGAATCTGATGCACAGCTGGATGTAGAGACTGCATGGATAAGTATCAATCACTTATTCATTCAACAAACAATTGCTGGCCAGCTACTCTCATTCCAGGTCAAGGCCAGGCTCTGGGAAAGCAGAAGAATACAGTCAGGTCTTGCCCTTAAGGAGCCCATAGTCTGGTGTCCAGGGAGAGGCCTGCATATTACAGATAATTACAACACACAGGGATGACAGCAATGACAGGATTCTGGAGCACAGAGAAAGGGTGAAAGAACCTATTTGTGACTCTTTTGGTGAAACATAATTTCCTCCTGATTCATTTGTTTCACAGGTCTGAATTTTTATATTTTGCATTTAGGGATATAAAGTAGCTCAGGCCCAGCTCAGTAATTCTTAAATATTGTCCATGATAATTCACTCTGAAAAGAGGGCCTACCACCAGTATCTTTCAAGCTGTTTTTAAAAAGAACAAGCTAGCTAAAAAAAATAAATAAATAAATTTAAAAAAATAAATAAATAAAAAGAACAAGCTAGGAAAGATAATAAAAGATAGTTAACTATGTCTGTTTCATAATTCTAGCATTAAAATCATCTAGAATAGGCATATCTATTTTTCACAATTTTGGGGAAATTAATTTAGCTTATCATACATAAAGCAGTCCCTCAGACCTACCCCCCCCCCCCCCCCACACACACCTCCTGCCCCACACACGCACAATAACAAACTCCAGCTAAGTTTCCTCTTCCTCTAGGTCTGTACTACATGACATAAAAATATAAAAATAAAATCAGTTCCTGGCCTGGGTACCTCAGTAAGTGATGTCATCAGCAAAAGAGGCTTAAATGCCTCCTTTTCCATAATCATAGAAATCTATGACATTTAGCCTGAAATTTCCTATTTTAGTTGCCACAGTGGCCCCTTTCAAGAGCACCCTTCTCCTTTGAGCAATACAGCAGGGGCACCCTGTTCATGTGGATCTAGTCCAGAGCAGCCCCAGAAACAGAGGAAACCACCGAGGAAGGCACCTTCCCCAAACAGAAGCATTACCTTGGTCCCGTGGTAGAAGTCGTCCACGCATGTGGCGTTCATGAAGGTCTGGTGGAAGTGGGTGCTGGTGTCGATGCCTCCAGGGATCACCAGTTTCCCAGTGGCATCAATCACCTTGGCCCCTCCGGGGATCATGAGCTCACGGCCCACCTGCTGGATGATGCCATTCTCAATGTAGACATCAGCCTCGTGGGTGCAGTCATCATTCACAACCTTGCCTCCCTTGATGAGAATCCGCACACTGGCTGAATTGGCAAGCATGTTCCTGTGAAAGGTGAGAGGGGGCACTGGTCAAGGTCAAAATTCCTTTTCACTGTCACCAAGGTCCCACCCTTTCCTGTGAGAGCCCAAACTCCATGGGCAGAGTAAGTGAGCAGGGATGGGGTGGAAGTTTCTCCACAGCCTGAGGACACTGGTCCTACAGCCAGCTGGGGTCACAAGCCTCCCACTGACCTCACAGCAGGACTCATTGGGAATCATGACACCACAGCAGTAAGGGTGAAGCTGGGGCCCAAAGAAACATCAATTTTCACCTTCTCAAAAAGTTGTGGTGGTTCTAAAGCATTTTCATATCTCTTGTCTCATTTTATTCCTAAAACAACCCAAGAAGTGGCATTTTACAGACGAGAAAACTGAAATTGCTAATAAGCAATTTATGGCTCCTAGTAGCCAAGTCAAACCCAGACGTCTTGTATGACCATCCCCACTATACCATATGGTCCTGAAGATATCAGAGGCTCCTGGGATGTGTCTCAGAGAGCCAAATTCTCCAAGCCTCACAGCTGCTTAATTCATGTCATTCTTCAGATGGATTCTGATTCAGTTCACCCTCCTATGTTTGTCTCAAGAAGTCCACGACCACACTGAAGCTCCACAGCTGGCTGCACATTGATAAGCTCATCTGATATGCTCAAGTCCCACCCCCAAGATTCAGCTTTATTTGGTCCAGATTGCATCCCCAGAATCAACTTTTCAAAAGCCATAGAACTCTACCATACACTTAAAGAAGAATTAACCCCAATCTCTTCCAGAAAATAGAGAAGGAAACCTTCTCAAGTCAGTTTATGAAGTCAGTACTGCCCTGATAACAAAGAGAGAGAAAGACAGTACAGAAAAAACAAACTATAAAGTAATATCCCTCATGAATGTAGATACAAAAATTTCTAACAAAATATCAGCAAACAGAATCCAGCAATATGTAAAAGAATTAAAGAATCCCACTATGCAAATGGAATTACTTCCAGGGATGTAAAGCTTGCTCAATATTTGAAAATCAATCAATGTAATCCACCATATTAACAGGCTAAAGAAGAAAAAAAATCACATAATCATATAAATTGATGCAGAAAAAGCACTGGACAAAATTCAACACCCATTCATGATAAAAAAAACTCTCAGGAAAGTAGGAAAAGAAGTTAACTTCCTCAAGTTGATAAAAAACATCACCAGGGACTTCCCTGGTGGTGCAGTGCTTAAGAATCCGCCTGTCAATGCAGGGGATATTGGTTCGATCTCCAGTCCGGGAAGATCCCACATGCCACGTGCTGCAACTACTGAAGCCTGTGCACCTAGAGCCCGTGCTCCCCAACAAGAGAAGCCACTGAAATGCAAAGCCTGTGCACTGTAACGAAGAGTAACCCTTGCTCAGAGCAACTAGAGAAAGCCCACACGCAGCAACGAAGACCCAACACAGCCAAAAATAAATAAATACAATTTTTTTAAATTAAAGAACATCACCAAAAAACCTGCAGCTAATATCAGAATTTATGAAAGACTGAATACTTTCCCCCTAAACTAAGAATAAGGCAAGGATGTCTACTCTCACCACTGTTATTCAACAAAGGGAGTTCTAGCTAGCACTATAACAAAAGAAAATGAAATAAAAGGCATATAGACTGAAAAGGGAAAAATAAAACCATTCTTATCTGCAGGTGACGTGATGGGGGCTACGCAGAAAATCTCAAAGAATCTACAAAAAATCTCCTAGAACAAATGTCAGTTCAGCAAGGTCACAAGGTACAAGATCAACATACAGAAAGCTATTGTTTTTCTATATACTAGCGATGAACAAATGGACACACAAAAAAATTGAAATACTTAGGTAGAAATCTAAGAAAATATACAGGATTTGTATGCTGAAAACTACAAAATGCTGATGAAAGAAACCAAAGAAATAAATAAGTGGAGAGACATACAATGTTCGTGGATTGGAAGACCCAGCATAGTAAAGATGTCAATTCTCCCCTAATTGATATATACGTTTAATGCAGGTTGATTCGGTGACTATCTTGACATTCAGTATCTGAACAGAAATGATTTTTACTTAGGCTTAGAAAATATAGGACACAATCTGACCGGAGGAGGGAGGCTACACCACTGCAGTGTCTCTGTGGGCTCAATAAAGCCCACCTTTCTACACGGTAAACTTATTCTTCAGGATCCAATCAATTGTTCCCTCTTCTGAGAAGCCTTCCCCAACTCCCTCTGTACCTTCATGAGGCACTGGAGTCTATCTCCACCTCTGGACTAAGTCCTCAAAGTCAAAGGCGTAGCAGCAAACCATTTCTGCCTGGTCCTCATCCCCAGCATCCAGTATAGGAAACTCAAAACTGTTCACAAATGAACAGTTTTGGCTGTATCTACTTGTTGCACCCTGACAATCAAATGGTTTAAAGCAACAAGCGGTAGGCCAATTCCATATTTGTTGTCCAGGACATTTGGCAACTCTATGTCCAGGATAATGCTCAACTGTCATCCCTTTTCCAATACAGCATATCACTGTGAACAGAGCAAAGGAAGCGACATACTATCTCTCATCCTCGTCATTTCATTTTGCCTGCCACTAGGCAAATTACAGGAAGGCTTTGTCCCAGGATGAAAAGGTCTCACAATCCATTGAAGGAATTGCTCTTGTAAGGAAATAAGTCAGCTATCTGGAGAGCTTAGCCTGCTCTCCTGGACACACTTGGTTAGGCAGTTTTTTGTTTTTTGTTTTTTTTGTCAAGTTGACCAGATTGGAGTGCATGGAATCTCCACACCAAGAAAGTTTACAGTACCTATTCAGCCTCAACTGCCAGGTCCTTCTGCTGTCAGGAGAGGGTGGTCTGCTGGGGGCAGTGTTGGGAAACAAGACAGGTGGCTGGGAGTGAACCCTGTTCCCTTACAGAGCAACATTGTCCTCCATGAACATCTGGTCCCTGCCAGGTATCATTCTGACCTTTGGGGAGGATGGGTCCCTCCCCTAGTGTGGAAGGCCCTGGGCAGAGACAGTGGGCAGGAGTTGGGTAGGCCAGAAGGATGGGGGGACAGGTACAGTCACAGCAATGAGCCCATTGTCTGAAGCTGGAATGAAGCTGACATATTTCAGGGGAACTTTTGTCCTAAAATCTGAAAACTGGAATTTTAATTTAATACACAATAATCAGGAAATGAGTTTGGTTCTTAAGTGATGGACAAAACCATTCTGGCCAAAGGAAGTCCAGAAAGCCTCAGAGATGCAGTCTCTCTCTCTCTCTCTCTCTCTCTCTCTCTCTCTCTCTCATTACAAAGCCAAGGCCAGGTGTGACCACAAAAGGAGAGATGCAAGTTCTCAGAGGGAAATGATGGTAAGACACACACAATCCTCTGTGCAAATATATAATCCTCACCTTTTAAAGCAGCTTTAAGTAAGAGGAAAACTAGGAATATTTATGCTGGGAAATTGTTGCATAGTCATTATGTCAGTGTGGTAAATGAGGATATTGATTTGCTTATTAATCCAGAACACATGCTCATAGCACACACCTGGAGGGCGGATACCCTGAAAGGGTGATATGATAATGATTTATGGGGGATTCTTATCTGAGCTTTGATGCTGGAATCATAAGCCAAGGGTGTTTTCTTCAGTAGAAATAAGAAAACAGCTTTTAGTAAGCTAACACCCTGTGCCTGGAATTTAATTCACATGGCAGCCCCGAGAAGTAGGAACAAGGCTGGAAGTATTAGCCTCGTTTTAAGATGAGGAAGTAGAGGTTTTGAAAATAACAGGTAGGGACTTCCCTGGTGGCTCAGTGGATAAGACTCTGAGCTCCCAATTCAGGGGGCCTGGGTTCGATCCCTAGTCAGGGAACTAGATCCCACATGCATGCAGCAACTAAGAGTTTGCATGCCACAACTAAGGAGCCCAAGTGCGGCAACTAAGGAGCTGGCGAGCCTCAACTAAGGAGTCAGCCTGCTGCAACTAAGACCCGGAGCAACCAAATAAATAAATACTAAAAAAAAAAAAAAAAAAAAAAAAAAAAGAAAAGAACAGGTATCCCATTAAAGGTCATACCACTCCAGCATGGAAGGATGGGCTTCATACCCAGGTCTGTGACTTAAAGGAAAGGTTACCAAAGTTAACTCTGGGTAGAAGTGTTTCAGGTGATTTTTATGTTCTTGATAGTTTTCTATATTTTTCAAATTTTATACAATAAACTTGTATTACCTTTTAGAATCTGAAAAGTTGCATCAGGAAGGTTTTTGGGGGGCTTCCCTGGTGGCGCAGTGGTTGAGAGTCCGCCTGCCGATGCAGGGGACGTGGGTTCGTGCCCCGGTCTGGGAAGATCCCACATGTCGCGGAGCGTCTGGGCCCGTGAGCCGTGGCTGCTGAGCCTGCGCATCTGGAGCCTGTGCTCCGCAACGGGAGAGGCCGCAACAGTGAGAGGCCCGCGTACCGCAAAAAAAAAAGAAGGTTTTTTTTGTTTTGTTTTTGTTCTTTTTAAGCTACAAAGAAGGCAGAAGGAATCCAATGTGACCCTTCATTCAGGTCCAGTGAGCTCAGTCCTTCCCTCTGCCACTCTCCATGCAAGGAGATGAAAAAAGAACCTGCTACCACCAGCCATAACACTGAATCTTTTTCTAGAACCCTTGGGCTGCCACCATGACTCACCCGGTCGTTTTCCACTTCCTTGTTGGAAATCCCTGAAGGCTAACCAGGCTCTGAAAAGGCTGGGCTCCCTCAACAATACTGGGGAGTCCTGGAACCTCTCTGGTCTGGAGATCCCATTCACACAGCCTGACCTAGGCCTGGAAATCCAGGCTGGACTGGACTCCCAGGACTACCTTAGAGGGAACTCATTCTCAGAACTTGGAGGGTGCTGTTAATGATCTTAACAATTAGTAAACACCTACTGTATACTGGGCCCCTCCCTAATCCCATCAGATACATTATCTTATTTGATCTTTACAGTATCCTGAGATCGATACCATTATTGTCCCCAGTTTTACCATGAGGAAGCTGATGCT